TATGCAGTTAGACTTCACATCGTAAATGGACAAAATACCAATAAAAGAAATGGCAACAATCACTTTCCTCAAGAGACAGAAATTCATTTAATTGACTTGTTTTTAACCCACATTTTGTGAGGCAGAAAACGTTTGCCTGTTTGTTTTAGAACACCGTGACGTCGGTACAGACACTATCGAGAGTTGTGTCCGTCGACCAAGCTTGTGCAGTGGAGTGTTTCTCATCCAGCGTTATGCCTTTCTATGGAAACGTATTGCTGCAAATGCGAAAAAATATGATTTTATCTCGTTTAAACAACTTATTACCTCGTTAAAATGACATAGTTATCTCGTTTAAACGACATAGTTATCTCGTTAAACGACTTAGTTATCTCGTTAAACGACTTAGTTATCTCGTTTAAACGACAATTTATTCGAGCTGGACCAAGTTTATTCCATGAATGTCTACTTTCTTTTTCTGATAGCATCTTAGGAGAGCCTCACGATAATGATTAAGTGCATCTCTTGGCAATCCCTCAGGGGTGTTACCAGTTTTTACCGTGTATTTTGTAATTTTCTATGTCCTTGTTTTATGCTTGTTGCTTGTTGTCTCCGTCTTGATACATGTACCTTAGAAATAATAAATGAAATGAATGAAATGAAATGAAAAAGAACTGCACTACTTCGCTGGTTCACGAACGACTGTGAAATACACGCGTTACGGTAGCGTCGCTACCAACAAAATGAACAACAGACCAACATAGCTCTTTTCAACCAATGAAGGGGTGCTTCTGCTCGATAGTTTTAGAATGCTCATGTGTATGTTTACACTTACAAGTGCAGTCCACTAATTCAAATGAGAATTTCTGGCCAGCTCATTAGCATTAAAAGTTCCCCAACGGTATCTTTTGATAAGGGAGATTGTTTGGCCCCCAAAATGGTGAGATTGTGTAAATTGTTTCCAGGATCAACTCCCTGGGTCATTGAGCTTTCATATGAGAGCAGAATGGATAAAAAAAGGTTGAAAATGGTCCTAAGTGCCCAAGTAAGTTGAGGGTTGCCAGTTGGGCTGCAATCAGACTTCGGAAAAATCACTTTTCGGTGGGTGATTTTGTTTTGTGGGAATAATTAAAAATGCGATTAGTTAACCAATCAAACCCACCAAAAATTGAAAAGAAATTGAAAGATTAGAGACCAGACAATAATTTAATTTGTGTTTCGGAAATCTCGGGATGTCGGTAAACATGTTATTGGGCCCTGAACAAGGCTGACTTTGCACTGTTCGAACAAGTACATTTACATGTGAAACAATCAAGAGTCAAAGTGTAAAATACCACTGCACAAGCGTGACCAAAAAAAAACCGGACGACAGGCGACGCACAACGGGCGACGGAAAATGGCATGTTTGGAACTGGTAAATGGCAGAATTGGGATACAACAAAAAGCAAAAGGAGACGGGCGACGGGTGACAGCATATATGGAATTCCATAGTATCAACTCAGGGATCCCCAGCCATTGCATTCGCACCCCTCTCTGACAATCCTTGATGCACTTCCGGTAACTCTGACCATTCCAAATGAAAAGTTGACAGAAGTAGAAATCTGCAAAATCTGTTAAACATAAAAAATTAGGTTATCCCAGTACATTATTTTATGCAATTTTTCTGCTAAATTCCGGTGTATGCAAATATGAATCAGGTAGTATTAGGCCCAAGATATTCAACGAGTTCAGTCGTTCAACATGAATAGAAACTTGTATCCTTGAGTGCATATTCATTCATAATTCTTTTTTGTCTTTAATTCGTGGAAAGTCAACTTTGACATAAATTACAAATAGTAATTGGGACGCATGATATGCTAAAGAGACTAACTTGGACGGAGGCCTGATGAAATTGTTTGTTCATTGGATATTTGATAACCCTCTCTCCAAGATGCGCGACGAATCTGCATGACCAAGGGGATTTATTAAATTTGAATCAAATGACCGCTCGCAACTCACGAAATCGAACGACACCCTTTGATGTTAGAACGCAGATATAAAGGAAAATTCAATTTCAAACGATTTTGTTATAAAATTGGAGCATCGCGATGTTCACCGTAGTTCGTCTGCAGCACTCTCTGCGCGAGGTCTGATACCGGCGAAGTTCCAGCCTTTATCAGTTACATCAGTTGTAGCGAAGCCTTCTCTACGGCTCGTAAATCCGAGACCAGATTGTATCTTCCTTCTCGTCTTTACACGGCATTTGTGCTCGTTTATTGGCGGGGTGAAATGACCCCCCCCCAAAAAAAAAAATTAATAAGACGCTGAAATTTTACTTCGACATAACAGGGGCAAAGATCAATTCCCACTAATGAAGCAGGGACGATAGTGTTTCAAGTTCAGTGCCCGTTTCCAGTAGGATTCTTGTTACAGATATCAGACAGGTGGCGGAAGGATTTAGACAAATCACCCGTGACAAGAAAATGCGTCACGCTCCATCCACAGCTCTTGGAAAATTTCCTCTCCAGAAATTGTCCGTTGATCTTCTGTCTAAAAATGTACTAATCTCATAACTTAAGTTCATGTACAGACACATTTATAACGAAGATCATTGTAATGATGTGCACTGAACCAGAAACCGAACATTGAAATTGCCACCTGCTGAAGCGAGAAGCGAGCGACGGGCTAATGAATTGTCGTCAAGAAGACGCGTGAATGATGTACCTCGCTCATGTTTTCATCATTTGTTCAAAATTGATGCATGCCAGAAGAAATACGCCGATCAGCGTGAACGGCAGACAGTCGCTATCAATTTCCCCTGAGCTCATTGCGGACGGTGAGTTATTGACCGTAACTGCGCACTGCACTGGGCCGCCTCTATTCAGAATGATGACAGTGAGCTATACACTACAGCCGGGCTGGGTCCCCGAAATTAATTCAAAGCTGGTTTCCCTTCTAGAAAAATCAGCTGCGGTGGTATTGAAACGAATGCTGGGGCCATAATATCGAAAACGAACAAAACAAAGAAACGTTCTTCGATGAAAGCTGAGAGTAATTAAAAACTCAACCGCCCTTTTTTTGGTTTGTGCTTCAGATTGGATGTACGCTAGTCAGGAAATAATGTTGTCAACATTGGTCGAAACTACAGGATTAACGATTTGTAGCCGCCTCATTTTGGTACTTTATATTGCAATATTGTGCAAAGGAAGAATCCAATGTATACAGCGTTTTCAAAGTAATACAGTTATCCAGTCAAATAAGGTTTTAAATTCTGAGCCTGCAAAAGTCGCGCACATTAACCACCCAAAGATCGAGGCGACTCGGTTTGGGTAATTTTCAATCAAGGTGCACTTAGCGAAGAGGGAGAGCTGATCTCCGATTCGGCCATGTTTTGTATTGTTTTTTCGGAAATTGATCAGACCGGGTCTGATTAGACCTGGCGGCTTCTGGCACGCGTTCTGCCCATCTTCGTCAGTCATCGTTAGTGCTGCATTGATCTACTGATCGCGTATACCCGGCCCCTTTAGATGGGTCGCCACGACGGTATCGTTTTGTAAGTGTCCATGTATGTGGGCCTTCCCCACGTTCAGGCATGGACGTATAGGAAAATGTCTTAGGGGGGCGGACATTTTGTTTAATTAAGAAAGGCCGAATCACGTTGTGGGGACAACAATTTGTTCCCGATACGTTTGTGATCCTCATAACGTCTGTATTTCAACTTATGTGCAGTCCCCATAACCCGGCAACAAGTATACTGTGTGTGCTCTTATATGCTATCTTAATCTTGTTCTTAAACTTTGAGCTGAATAGCTCTATTCCTCAAACTTGTTTATAGTTTCAGTCAGTTTATTCTGAACTCCTCTTTAGTTTGCTAATGTCAAATGTCGTCCGTCTGTTTGGGACTATTGAATTGGTGTAACCGTTGCAGTACACGTTGTAAGTTGGGTCTGCCAACTAGTACTATTATATTTGCCTCTGTTGGGGGATAATGCCTGGAAAGCCGGTAGTTTTCAGTACGTCTACATTTAAAGAGGAACAGACTTGAGAGTGGTCACAAATGTTGAGGTGCAGGAGTTTTTGTTGATTGCTTAATCGTTCGCGAAGAATGATGCCTGCAAGGACGCGGGTTTGAACCGAATTATTTGAAAGGAAATAACTCTCTCTTTTCTATGTAGTTTGCATACTAATGTAAAAAAATATTGATGTCGGTTCGTATTAAAAAGGAAGCCGACAATGAATCCACGTTTCACTTTCTGTTCCCCAAAATTGCACAAACTGTTATTAATGAATTGGTCTATATAAATGGCATGATGTTTTGTTGTTTCTGTTCAACAAATTTGATCCCAGAGGGCATGATGCAATCGATCACTTCTCTTTTAGCCTAACAATTGGGTCTCGGATGAAACCAGGATTTTGTTGTTTATCTTTGCAGCGGGGAAGGTGCTGTTAACTGCTCATTCGCTTACATTATCTATCAACACTGCAGGTGGCCAGTGCGGCCATATGGTCCCTTCGGTTTTGTTATTATCAACCGGATCTCCTGTAAACAGTGGTCCACACAGACAACTACCGCTATGAGGCTCGTCTCCATGTACATTCCGGATTTGCATTAAATGTGATTTTTTTTTACCCAACCACACTGTTGTAACACATTGCTAATTAACACCACGAAGCTCGACGTTTGTTGCAAAACCGACAGAGCAAGACCCCACCCACCGCTCCGCTAAGTGTTAGTACAGTTTAGATTGTAATTGTTCGCTAATGAGGTATGGCACTTAACAAGTAACAAAAGCCTCAAAGCGAAATTACAGTAGCTGAAGGGAGATGCTTGAAATCATGAGAAAGGGCCTAGCCAAATGCCCAAGTTTCGGGTGCTGGTTGCTGGTACGACAGGTTATCGGGTAACTCACAGCCGCTCCATGGTAACCGATGAACTCTTGCAGTTGGTTTCGATCAACAAGTGCCCCGGTCATGTGTTTTATTTCTCCATGATTCAACTATGCGCATATTTTTGCTCATTGTAATCCTTTCTCTCCCCCCCCTTTATTTTTTCACTCAAGGAAATCGTTATTTCCAAATGATTGGTCGTTTTTTTTGCGTCTGCGCACTGGACGATTTCGCCACGACAATTGACCGTGTCTGAATAATGATGAGTCATATAGCATGAATGAATGCACCGACACAGACTTTCCTTGTTTGTCATGACCAGGCGGCCGAACGAGGTCGCGCCGCTCACTTAACCCCCCGATGACCGGATTGATCAGCGTGTTATGACCCGGCGGCTACAATGGAAAAAAAAAATCAATTCATGCGTTCAATGCAATCGGGCTCAAAGCAGCAACCTGTAGCGTTTCACTGCATGTAACGTTCAAGTGCAGTGATGTGGGCTTGTGCCGGGCAGACAACACGTTCGTTATGTGTGAGTGGTTATACGTTGCAGGTAAAGTGACTGAAATGAACGACTTCCGCTGGTCGAGACGTGTACACAGTACACGTGCGTGGTGTACTGTACGTGCTCCTCAGGCAGATATTTTGTGAACTCCATCAGTCCACAGGATTTCAGTATTGTACCCAGGAGCATGTGAAGTCTCTGTTCGGTCAGACAACTACTGATTTGTGTGAGCTCTATGGTGTGAGTAATGCCCTCCTAAACAACTTACCAACCGAGGCTCGCATTATAAACATAACGAAATTCACTGTACCTCGATTCGTACTCTTAAAATGTGCCTTTCACATCAAAATTAAATCGTGTTCACATGCACTGACACTTCGGGAAGACCGCAGTTAACTGTTATTTTGGGGACTCCTCTGCCTTCGGTAGTCCCACCACGATACCGCGGTCCAACCGTCAGACTCGTGGGTACTGAAGCGTGGTAAAGACTTTTTTGTGGAGGCCTACGCGTTCATGTGTTCGTGTCGTGCCAGTCATAATGTGGCATTCAAACATGGATTATTCTACCGACAACAAAAAATAATTTATATTCCCTGCCAACGTATTTCGTCGTAGATGAAGTAGGAAAATATGAAAACACGGCTAGGCGAGAGTGTTGCAGCGCAAATGACGGCTGAATCTACTTTCCAATGTGTCCCCTGATGTCGTCAAGAATTACCATAAGTCACGTTTGTGAATAATGAGTGTCATCAATATTGTGTCGGCGGTACCGCCGCAGTCAACCCAGCTCACCAATGTGTCGTGGGCCGGGGCGTTTGGATCGGACAACTCATTAGATAGCGGCTGGCCCGCGGAAGCGATGTGCGGGGACCTGTATGAGAATCACACGTGCTCGGAGGACGTGGGCTCCCGGTACGTGCAGGCCGCGCTGGGGCTGGTCAGCTTCGTCCTCATCGTCTTCGGCAACGGGCTGACCATCTTGGTCATCGTGACGGACCGGCAGCTCCACAACGTCTCGTTCCTGGTCATCCTGAACTTGGCCCTAGGGGATCTCCTGTTGGGGATTGTCAGCCAGCCGCCGTCCATCTACTACGCCTTCACATGCGTCTGGCCCAGCGGCACCCAGGGGTTCCTCTGCCAGTTCGTCGGCTTCTTCATCTGTCTCCTATGCTCCGTGTCCATACTCTCACTGGGACTCGTCAGCTACGAGCGGTACCTGTACGTGGTCTGTCCCTTCGAGTATCAGAACAAGATGACATGCGGCCGGGTGATCTTCACCTGTGCCCTGCTGTGGATTTACTCCACGATAGCCGCCGTGTTCCCGGTGTCCGGACTCTGGAAAGGTGTTGGACTGGTCCCAGACACGGCCTTGTGTAATGTTCTCTGGCACACCGAACCCATCTTCATGTGGGCCATGATACTGTTCTTCCTTTTCCCCTCTGCAGTTGTCATCGCATATTCTTACTACAAAATCTTGCGCATGGCCCGAACCATGAATCGCCTAGAGGCCCGTTATCGTCGAGCCATCGAGCTCAACCCGATGGCGCCGTCCAAAAACGGCTCGGCCCACTCCCGTCGCGGCCTCTCCAACACCCCCGACGGCAGCACCCCGGATAGCACCATGTCGGTGGAGGATGGGGCCACTCCGGCCACCGGCCCCGCCACCCCGGTGGCCCTCCGCAAGATGAGCCTTGGCAACGCCCGGAAGGTGGCCAAGGTCTTCGTCAGGGGGCGCAAGTCCAACATCACAGTCACGGTGCTCATCGGCACTTTCGTACTCTGCTGGACCCCTTACGTCGTCAGTCAAATCGTGCAGGCCATATTGTGCGAGCCCATCAGCTTCTGGACGTCCGCTCTCACGCAGTGGCAGTGCATCTTCAACAGCGCCTGCAACCCAGTCATTTACGGGGCCACCAACAGGGCATTCCGGGAAGGGGTCAAACGGCTTCTCCGCCGGTGGGGGTTCTGGCGGCGGCGGTGCAAACATGGCCCGGCTGACCCCTCCCTCGCCCCGTCCAGAGAGAGGCCGAAGGAAGAGACGCTGCGCGCAGAAAGTCAAGAAGAACTGGACTCACTTGCCTGACTCGATGGCCCGAAGGGCAACATTCCGTTATTTATTGTTTCAACTTGAGCCATGTAACTTGTTTACATTATGCAGGCATGGTTCAGATGAGTGAATGACATCAATATGCGGTCAGCGGCAGCTCTAGTGGCCTCTGTGATGGTCACTGTGGCATCGCTCAGCCAGCTTGCTAAACGGGTCTTGTACATGTTTTTCCCCTCCACCGTTCCTTGGATGATTGTTTTCTGAAGGCAGTGAGGCCGCTATCAGTGATGTGACACTGACTGCCTTTTACGACCATTTTTATTCATTTTAAACCTACTCTATTTGAATTCGGTTTTCAGATTTTGTAAAAAGTGTCGGATAGAGGAAACTGACAGTCGCCAAATGCCATTTTTCAACAGAGAGATGGGTGTAAAAATAGATAAATCTATTTATTCACCAAAGTTGTAAAACTACATTTTGTGCTCACAATGGGGACTCTCCTTCATAATATAATTATCTTGAGACCTTATTAAATAATTCAATTTGAAGAAAATTTCAATTCCCTAATAAAGCATAATTGACCAGATGGATGGGCTTTTCTCTCATATTTGTTAACATTGGCATTTAATAGTTTTTGCATCTAAAATCTAATCTTTCCGTTGACCCAGTTGTCCTAATTTGTGTAATGTCGTCAAACTTACATTTGTGGGAACTATTGAGCCCAAAGATTGGCTGATAAGGTTGATAAATTATTCATCTGCAGTACTTTTGTTCCAGCATTATTTGTAAGGGACAGTTTCCCCTTTCTTTGAAATTCACAGGAAGTTGCCAAATTAAGTCTAATGGAAACTAGGTCAGGGCAGTAAGGAAACACGATCTATTGTGGCGGTGTAACTGTATCTTATGTGCTGGCTTTTAACTTCATGTTTGTAAGGAATAACTGAAAATAATTAGGACGCCAGAAACAAAAATCATAAAGAGTCGCCCCAAATCATATGATTTAGACAGCTGTGAACATTTGGTCCTCGGACTTTCCGGCACTGTGATGTCAATAGACGGAAGTGTTGAATGTCCAGTGAAAATGTATTTCTAAGTTATCCAATATGCCCATGTTTCTGAACCATATAGCTTACAAGTCACAAGAAGTTTCCAGAGTTCCAGAGATGGACGGATTACCCTTGCTTAAGATGTTTATTCAGGCACTGCCCCCCCCTCTCTCTTTCTTTCTCTCCAGATGAGGGATTTGGTGTCTAGATTTCAAACCGCAACCTTTTTTCCTTAATGGACGCAGTTTATTAAAGCTAAAGCAAAGAAAAAGCATAATTTGATGACTGTCTTGTCAGCCATGCTGACAAATGAAACTGTTTATCCGGAGATGACTGTGCTTCACCTGCTCGTGAATATGACATTTTACATTGCTGTAAGCAGACAATGTCAGGAAAACACCCCCGATGTTCGTTGTTCGGGTGCAGAAGTCCTCTTTGATGCCCTCTGCATGAATTACTTTTAGCCTTCAGGGATCGACACTTGCGGTTATTGAGATAATCGCATATACCCTTCTTCTCAAACTTTGCTTAGGCATATCCCAAACTTTAACCAAATTGAGGACTGGGTTATTTTCAAATACGAACTGTCTGTTGAGGTACTATCACCCAACTTTTTTTTTCATTTGTTGGTATATTTGCAGAGACGACAAAAACACTGCGTGTAATTGCCTATTACCGTCGAAAACAACGACCATATTAAAATTTTATAAAGATGCAAGTGTCCATTGTCCAGTGACGTCTTTTAATACTTTTGTCATAAAATCCCAATTTCACTACTCGCCTTCAGCTTTTATATATATATTTTTTAATGAACACAAGACAAAAGTGATATTGAGAACAGGTGTTTACTCAATTGTATTTGTATTGTTCAATTTCTAATCAGCGATTCAAACCAAACCGATTTTTCACATAACCCATGTGAAATGCCAGATTTATTGAAACCAATTTTCATATTTCACAGGCAAGAGTGATAATGATATAGGGGAGAGAATATTGCTCCGTCACTGACGTCACTAGAAGAGAAAACAATCATTGCAGTGGTGCATCTTTTTCTTTTGCTATCGAAGTCCCCAATGTGGATAATTTATGTTGAAAGATGCTTCACGCCGTATGACACTGTTAAAATTGTCTGCTAAATAACAGGAAATTCTGTTGTCAATTGGCATTACAGAAGTTACTATTTTGTGCCAGCACTTTCTGGGAACACTGACTCTCATTTCTGCAAATGCAGATATTTCGTATTGACGGAATTGATACCGGTACAATACGTGAGTGTAGTCATGGCTTGCATGAAATATGCATCTGAACGCTTTGCACACAGTGCCATGCATTTACGAGCATTGTGAATTTTTGGGCCTTCTTCCAATAATGCCCATGCCTCTACATGATCATTGTATTCAAACAGTGACAGTGTCAAAAATTTCAACTTCAAGTCATCAAGGAGTCATTTTGTCGAAGTTTTGCAAAACGTTCATGTGCATTATTTGGCACACCGAGAGCAGTCATTGAAACACGCAATTTTATCATCTCATAAATGTTTCCCTCGTCATCAGTTTCCAAGTAATGGAGGTTAAAAATTACCAGGTGCTTCAACAAGATAAGATCTCTGCAATCCTAGTTTATCACTTAACGTTTTTCACATACTCCTCTTTTTCGATGAAATATATCTACAGCTTAACTACTCTCGAAACGCATATACCATACGGCTGTCTAAATGACTTAATTAAATCTGTCATCTACGCCTCTCGCAGAGCCACAATCAGCATCGCGTTTCCCGCTCAAATATCGCTAAGACTACCCAAATAGATCTTCCAAATTAGAGAGTGTGTTTTCACGTCAACCTGGACGATGCAGTTGTTGGATCGTGTTTCTTGTCAGTCGAAGAAGCTTCAAGTTCTGTATAATCTGTCATCCATCTGAATTGTGCATGTAATAAACCGACAGTGATATCGTTGCTAATACCTTCACCAATGGACCTTCACCTCTGGCCTTCTACTGTCACTTTCCGTGAGTGCTTGCACAAATTGTTATCAAATCTGAAAAGAAATCTCTTTTATTCAATGGGTTGCGATGTGCCTTCGAGTGGCCCGATGTACCACTTTGGAGGAAGCGCTTAATGGGGTCAGTCGTTACATTGTGTTTTCCCGTTACGAATGGAGGTCTTGGGGATTATGCGGGAACCTATAAGGGGCGTATCCCCGGTGTGTCACCCCCCCCCACACACACACGGCGCCATAGTTATATTTTCCCCTGAATCCATCATCCCTGCGCTATGAATGATATGTAAGTACATGCCTTTGTTGTCATGTCCTTCATTATTTTTTTTTTGAATGCCTTGATCGTTTATTGTCACCTTTCTGTAAACTTCTGCGGGTGGGTCTTGCATTGAGTCGTTTAACCCCAGTACGCTAAGTCATGCAGTTACAGCGACCAAGGGAAAGCAAGTAATAAATTTCTTTGCAGGTAGTGCTGTGTTATCCTGTACAAAGGAGACAGCAAGCCTTTGATGGTATCTGCTCGTTCGTATCAACGCAAGTATTCCCTCTCTGAGGGAGATGGTTATTATTTGTTCATAAAGCTTTCCAAATTTTTTTCAACACATGTTGATAAATGTGCTATAGGCCTACGGGTCTTTTTTCGCCAGACTAACATAAATACTGAATGCATCGTACACAAGCCATTATTACTGTGGAAATGGAATTTAGTGTTAGATATTATAGATTAACTAAATAATGTCTTTGAAAACTTGAACTGAGGGATAGTGAATATCTTACGATCGTGTAGGATGCAGCTATGAAAGAATAATATCATTTTAGCCTGTTGTACAAGATATAGTTGAACTTATAGTGCTCGCTCACATAACGCTTGCAGTGGTTAAAGCGAACATAGAGCTGCAGTGAATGTTTTTCTTAGACACAGTTTTTCTGCAACTTTAATACCCTTTTTTGATGAATGAAAACTCTTTCACACTCTTATTGGGTTAAATACATTGAAAAGTGCACTTCTTTAAACACACTAAATAATTCATACATTCCTTCGCAACCGAGGGCGCCGTTGCTATGATGTCATCCAGGGACAGAGCTCAGTGCATAGCCATAGGTTTCTCTGTTCTGCTTTTGAACCCAGAATTCACTCACTAAAATCATTCCCAAAAAGGATTGATGCTTACTTATTGCGATGCACATAAACAACGATGAATCGTCAAACGAGAAAACTAAGTCCAGCCAAATCGACTGACATGCAGAACTTTTTGTGTACAAGCCAGTGTGACCTTAATGCCACAACGATGACATCAAAGTTTTGCTCATGAATATTTGCTCATTAGCATTAAAAACAAAAAGGCAGTAAAATACCCTTTGAAGTAATGGAACAAAAGTTGAAAATAAGGTGAACTAAGACGCAAAAGTGTATTTTGAAGATTTGTATTAAAACCAACTGATTGCAGCTACCCTTGAAGTGATTCATGTCGCCCGTTCCCTCAGCATCGTGCCGCATTACGTTTGCCCGTCATCAGTTTCGATGTGTCAGACACTGTAGAGAAAAACATACTGGTCACTGACAAAGTCGAACACAGCAATTCGAGGACTTACGGGGATCGTAATTAATTTGTACAGGCTTACAGCCTTCTGGCGATAAAATATATTTTCCCCACTTATTGAAATGAGCAAGAGTGCAATGCACCGCAATGATAGACCCATAAAAAAATGTGACCACGCTCGTAGAGCGTGAAATCTAGCGGAATTCGACAGAAATTACCCTGGCAAATGCTGACATTAGACTGAAGTGCGTTTCGAGGAATCTTTGTGGGTTGATTCCCTGTTGAATTAAAAAGCCGTAACGAATAATCTCTGCACGATCTGATCTTGTTGACTTCAGAGTAGAGGTGTTGATTGAAAGTACAAGTATATGTTTTCCTTCCTTGTAGTCGTGCTGCAGTGAGTGACAAAATTGTCAATTATACCCTTGGAAAGCGGGTGGTCAAGGTGAGAGTGTTAATCTTCGTGCTGCATACAGCGTTTTAACGGCTGAAATTGTACCGTGGTTGATTATAATAAGGTTGTGTAAAGTATGGCTGTGCAATATATCAGTTTATAGTTGATGATTTAACTTCATATTGAAATATTCCATGGCAAAATGTCGACATAAAGTAGACGTATGGTCAGGACACTAGGCAACAGTGTTATGTAGGCCGTACTCCATGCATCCCAGGCACCAGCCTCAATCATTATTTCATTGTCGATGATAACATGTACCTGTAGGCTGTACACATGTCCACAGGTGTATAAGTTAGTTTGAAGTTTTCTCCAAATCGAGAGAGAAGAGAGATGTGAAAGCTTGAACACAAAACCTTTTCAACTTAACCTTCAATGACGATCTTTATGGCAACCAGGAATAGTGAATGTCCTTCACATGGCATTTATGTGCGTAACGAAACCTTGCCCTTCGTGACGTGGCAAGTTTGATTAAGGCCTTGGTGTGTCCTTTCGCCTGGATCAGGTTTTTATCTCCCCAATTAACAAGGCTTCGTCTTGATGAGCAGCGGCTTCAGGAACTTCTCGATTTTCAATGGGCCTGCAGGAGGCGAATCTGGGTATGGTTTCGTGTCCTGAAGACTATCAAATCATCTGGACTCACATGATTTGCCAAACTCATAGTTTGATAAGCGCCTTTTGGGTTTGTACACTGGAAGTATCTGATTCGTAGACGAACCGAAGGCTATAGACAAGGGCGGATCCAGACCCATTTCTCGGGGGGGGGCATGAAACCCGTTGCCCCCCCCCGATCCGCTCAAACTACTGTGGTCAGATGTCATTATATATGCCAGTTCTACCATGACTCACGTCTTCATCATCCTCGAAGCCAAAGGATCAAGGTTTGTCGGCTCGCTGAACTAAGCCTATGGGTCCTGTCAAACGGGGTGTAATTAGTAGTTGCACTAATCGACTTTAATTCCCGCATTTGTATCACAGGAAAGATGCAATTCATGCATTAAGAGTGACGCACAGAGGGATTATACTTACAATTTGTCTTTGTGCCAATACAGCGTCAATGGCGTATCCAGTAGGGTCGGGGCAGGGGACTACTCTAGAGACAAGGTGCCCTTTTTTCTTTCTTTCTTGTCTCATTGAAATCAACAGCATTTTAGAAATGGTACTGTCTGTTCTGTGGAGGAGTTAGGATTCTTTTAAAATGCGAACAAATTTGCGTTCTTTAAAAAAAATCCGTTTTGCCCCCCCCAGCTGAAGGCCTGGTTACACCACCGTACAGAGTCAATGAAATGTGCGTGTCGTTTGATATTTCTGCATTGTTTGGCACCAGTTGGCCCCGTTTTCCTTACAAGCATTGCTGTTTGGTGCTAAAGTTCGGTGCATAATCCAACTGGTGGTCCCACGCACCCTGAAGGCTCGAAGAACAATGCTGCAAATGTGCTGATGTTTCTAGTGGTCATGTTGAAACTCAAAAAGAAAACAAACATATAAAAAATGCACGATTGCAAACTGGCTTTTAGAGTGTCATTTTTATTCCCCAAATAAACTATTGTCATGCATTACCACTCATCGGACAGTGATGATAAAAATAACAAAGTCACAAGAGCCACAGAAATTGCTTACAATGCAGCACGCCATACAAGTTAAATCGAGAATCTTTAGCTCCAAAGTGAAATGCGAAAAAAACTTAGCCGTTGGCAAAAAAAACCAGTCATGGTATCAACGGCTTAATCCTAGAGACGTAGAGGGCGCCCAGCAATATTTAGCGTAAAAGGATTTTTTTCTAGAAAAATTATCTGCGGTTGAAACCTACGCAGAAAAAAATCGTCCATATGATGATCTGAAAGAGCATACCCTTTGGTATTGGCGGGTGCTGTATAATGTCCGCTTATCCGTCCGGAAATAATGACGGCGTATCTCTTTGTACAAAAGCTCAACACTGTTTATCTGTATAACGGATTTTGCCCTACGTATATATTAATAAACACTGTATGCTCATTGCTTGTCCGAAAGCTTGCGAAAAAAGTCATAAGCTTACTCGGGTGGGACTCGAACCCACGACCTCCTGCCTACTAGTGCAGACGTCTAAGGGCAAAACCCGTTATATAAATTAACATCTCCCCAACGCAAAAATACATCTTGAAAACTGTTTATCTGGTAACACTGTTTATCTGGTACAAACATTAATTATAATGTAGGCGTCTCCGAAGAACTCTATCAGTATCTCCTATCCTTTTATCCACGATAAGCCATTTAGAAAGCTAACTTCTTCAGTGTATGTCAGAGAGATGTACACTGTAATGACTCAAGTCAATGACTCGACTTGAGTCATTCTGATTTGAGTCACAATTTCTGGCGACTCTACTCGACTCCAGTCCCGACGGGAATGACCTGACTCGACTCGAGTCTCTGCGAGCAAGAAAATGACACAACTCGACTCGAGGCCCTCATCAGCAGACACGACTCCAGTGGAAGTCAATAAGACTCGAGTCCCAAAAGTAAGAGCAAACGTCTTAGCAAACAAAATGTTTTAAAATGGCTTGTAATGCTCCTATCATGTGCTATAATCATCAAGAATAAGAAGTGGTGTGACCACATGTAGAAACCCAGAGGGAAATTTAAAAAAAATACCCCCCAAACGACTTTTTCTGATGTGAGCTCAAACCTTGGTGACTCGAATTGACTTGAGCTAAATATTTGACTCAACTCGACTTTTTGCCAATTGACTTGACTCGACTCGAGTCACTAAGTTACAATTAATCGACTCGAGTCAAGTCACAAAAATTAGCGAATCGTTACAACTGTATTAATTCGTCTGTGATCACAGAGTGAAGGAAAAAATCCGTGCGTGAAGAAGGAAAATGTCACTCTTTAATGGCAGCGCCGTCTGCGCTTTTTTCACAAAGCCGTGCGCAAAACTTGCGCGAGTGCCGAATGCGTAACCGCTCCGAGCGGAACCAAAAAGGCCTTTTTTGGTACTCACCGCATAGGCTTGCCATGAGGCGTGTAAGTATACGCGCGTTTGACGAGGAGCATGCCGAGTACGCGTAACTACTTTATTCGTGCTTGTATCAACCTCATTCCCATGGGAACAATCTTGCCGCGCCATGTTGGTTCCCACCATGCCTTGTGCGATCTAGTGAAGGAACGCCCACGTCAGGCTTGTATACGGTCTTTGCGTACACGCAGAACGCGTGCAAGAACCCGCTTGTAAACACCTGTCTTTGTTTCGCCGATTGGGGGTGCACCTCAGCTCGGGGCGGTAGGGTCTTTGAAGCCTCTCTGTCCGACCATCACTAAGGGAGTATTTGTACACAGTACGTTTGATATCTAGAGATTATCTAGAAATTCACGAGACCGTCGCTGCAGAATCATGTTACTAAAGGCGTTGTTCCAAGTCTGTATTGAATCTATGCAAGTATTAGCAGCCGTTGATGCAATCGATAATAGCAAACCGTTTTCACCCCCCCCATCCAACAGTCTGCAAGCACATTCATTAAGGCCACATTTTAGCTCTGGACAGTGAAGCTGCTAGATTTTCTTTCGTTTGGGGTTCTGACACTGCGGGCATAGTGGCCACTGTGAATTCAAGCTCGGTGAAAAATCTTGACAGAATGCATATCGGCTACTATGAGATCCCCTCCTGGAGAAAACGTCATGGCGAAGGGATTAAAGAGCCCACGAACAACGCGCCTGATGAACATTCCTTTCGGGTCATACTGGTGGATCTCGCAGCCTCCTGTTTGACCGAAGTGAGTCGAGATGTAAATGTCCCCTGCCTCGTCGCAGCAAACACCGATGGGCTTGGCCGACTTCCTGCCGACAGAGGTCCCTACGTCGAAGAGCTTGTTGCCCGTGAAGTCCACACAAACCAGCCGCCTCTCGTGGTAATTGGTGAAGATCAGACGGTCGTTGTGGCTAAATGATATGCAGCCGTGTATCAAGTCATTGGGTATAGTGGTGATCAGAGACCCGTCCAGGTTGTGGACAGAGATGACCTTTCTCCCACTGTCCGCCACGGCTACTCGGTTGTTTTTATCCACGTCGATCCCACTGAGGTAGCTCTTCAGTTGCCCCTCGCGGTCATCCTTCGCAGGCGCAAACTTGTGGAGCAGTTGAAAGTCACTGCCAAACACCTTCACTTTATCGACGTCGGTGACCAGCAGATGGTCATCACAGGTCACCGCCACACTGTAAGGTGCCTTCAACGCATCCTCTTCTGTACGAGTCAGTGCATTCTTAAAGAGACCGTTTGGGGTTAGCACAGTAAGTCGCTGGTTTTTTGTATCTGCGACGGCGATCCCTCCGTCCTTCAAGGAACTGACCCCTGTCGCCCCCTTAAAATCCCCCTGCCCATCTCCTTTCTTGCCGAACTCGTGTTTCAACTGCCATTTCTCCTCGTGGACTATCTCACCAAGGTCTAAGTCATTCACCACGTCTTGGCACTTGATGCCGACATATGACAATTCATAGGGCACCGGTTCGAACTGGACCTCTACCTGGGAGTCCAGGTTGTGCATGATCTTCGGTTTGAGGTCTAAAAGCTCGTCTTCCTCAGCTTCACGCATCAGCTCGGTCACCGTTTCTACGACTTGGTCGGCCCGGTCCATCTTCTCGCGGTTGCGACTCAGCACTTCTTCATATTTCCCATCCCTCTCTCGACCGATCTCCTCGACCTTCTCTCTGAGGCGGCGAGATTTTTCTCTGATCCTTGCAATCTCTTCCTCTTCTTTCGCAGAAATATCTTGGCACGCCCGTTCCACCATGATCTTCAGCCTGCTCCTGGCGTGCTGTATGGAACCGTTGGCGACTCGGAATCTCTCTTTGCACTCCTCGAACGAGAGCAGTGCCTCCTCAACATCCTTCCTGAACTCTCCGACAACGTTGCCGATTTCGCCGTATCTGTGATCTTCCGTGCGGTGGTCGATTGCGGCGCATCTGGCACAGATCGACATCTCGCAGGCGTAACAGTAGAAACACACCCTGTAGCCCGCGTGGATCCTGCACTGAAGTGCCTTGCTTTGGACTTTCCGTGCTTCGACCAGCGGGCTGCCGCTGTAGCTCATCAAGCTTTCCACCGTGATGACCCGGTGTTGTTTGGTGCGCTTCCAACGCCCGTGGGCCTCCTGGCAACTCTTGCAGATGTTCTCGTCGCAGTCCTGACACCGCGCAACAGCTTCCAACCCTTCGTCGCACTGCTGGCAAGTCGGCACTGGCACGGAGTTGCTGCCAAGTAGCAGCTCCTGTTTGTTGAATTCGTCTACCAGGGACTTCAAGAAGAAGCAGTTGGACAGACCCTGCAAGCCCTGGTCTGGGATGGCCGTAGGCTGTCGACACAGCGGGCAAGTGATGTCCTGTTTCTGCTGCTGTTCACCACTGACAAGCTTGTCCAGACAGTTCAGGCAGAAGGTGTGTAGACAGTCGAGTATCTTCGGATTAGTGTAACGGCATCGGCAGATTGGACAGTCCAAGTGCCCCTGGCTTATCCTTCCGAGTACGCTCTTGGTTGCAGCCTTGGCCATCACTCACAACATAGCCTGGGAATAAACAAAATATACAACAAAAGGTCACAGTCGTATGTCAACCTGCTGAAAGACAAAGACAAAAACTTTTAGTTTAAATTAAACACCAGCGGCAAAGAAGGTGTTCAAGCATTGTAATCATTGTATTTGCAGCATGAAGAGTTGCCATGACCCCACGCCGTGTTTATGCATTGTTAAAAAATGTCTGTCAAATAACAGTAAATTCTATTGTCAGTTGACATCACAAAAGTTGCTGTTTTGGCACAGCACATTCAATTGTCAACTTTTCTCTGAATACTAACAGGAGATTCTTATGAAAGTGTATTTAGGACATTATAGGAAAAAAATCCCTTACGTACGTACCGGTGCGAATTAAAATTTTTTTCTTACCATTTTGAACAGTGTTTGCTGTCTTTGCAACAGTCACTGCATGATTGTGAAGCAGGGGTCAGGCGTCGTGGCATAGTGCTGCATCGTGTGACGTGCAGCGCCAGTACCATTCAATCGAACCCCAAGAGAGATGATTCCTGTTTTCTTTAAGCCGATACTACTTCAGTTCTCGAATTGTTATCATTTCGATTGTACTGAATATTTCCACCAGGTGAAATTGTGTGAATGTGATTTTAACCGAAGGATGCATGAAATGTACACGAGACAAATCTGTCAATACTTTACACAGAAACTTCCCGTTGTTATCAAGAACCAAGAGGGACCTAATTGCGAGCGTACGTGTAGGCAAGACTCCCTTGAGAGCTAGTAATGGAGCGGATGGTCCAATTTCCTACTAAGGAGCATTTTCTGTGACAGTTTATTCTTTGAGTAATACTCAAAAGCAGAACGACTCTATCATCGAACCCACAGGCCTACCGTTTATAGTAGTTTCGTTGCCTATAATTACTATTGTTGTAGGTCCATTGAATTCACACGGTATCGATTCTTATTAATTTGACACCACATTCTCGTCTCCATTACAAGTGATGGCTGGAACCTGCGAAGCTGGAAAGATTCTCTTGGAGATAACAAGGAACGCTGTACTGTTTGCCAGAGGTGTTTAAATGAACTTACCGTGTAGTGAAGGTTGAGGCCCCGTCACGACTTAGTTACAAATAACTCCTCTGCAAGGCAGTTATGAAGGGGTGTGTGGATAACCCCCTGGCTCTCATACACCCCAGTTGAAACGAGGTGTGCCCGTAAAAATGTGCGAATTGCCAACACCCAACCGAGCCTGCAGGGTCGCTCGAAGTAATATTTTGGTGTGCTTTGCCGACCTTGATGTTGGTATTAGTCACGGGTAGGACTTGTTGTCAGCGAATGTGTCGGATGTGGGCCAATTTGACAGGCTAAAGTTAGATCGCCGTGACTGCGCAAGGTAATTAAATAGGAAATGCTCAGAGGCCTTTTATCTTAAACCCGAAGTACTTTCCGATGTCCATACAGGCATACACTTCTGAAAGACAAGGAGAAAAGTATCTAGTGCCAAACAGGAAGGGCTGTAGAGGAAAGCTGGTTTAGCGAGGCACACTGTTGCTTTCTGTAGTTACTACACTTCTCAAACAAGTTAAGAAGCACTTCAAATTTTATTTTGTGTATACTCTTTTCATATGAGATATTTTACTGCTGAATATCTCTTGCATCATTGCACTTTTTGAATTTTTTTTATCCCAATGAGAACACCATCTAGACAAACAAAAAATGAAAGAACTAGACCCCACTCATTGCTTTGAAAGAGATTACAAGTTAAAAAAAGAGTAGCCCTTAACTTAAAAAGTGGTCCTTAACTTTTTTAGTAGTATACATGTATTTTTAACTTCATATTTGGAGGAAGTGGGTGATAGAAATGCATTCACGTTTGCTCGACCCTGATTTGAACCAGAAGTATGTTGTTGTCCCTTGGGTTTGTTTACCAACAGAAATGACGTCATTAAAATATAGATGTATATATATCATTCACATCTTTTGATGACTGTTTTCCTTCATAGTTTTTACAAGTCAAGTGCCAAATTTTAGAGGGAAGACGATGTTTTCTCATAATGGCTGATTTCAAAAAACGTTTTGTTGATCCCGGGGTTATATAACTCGGGCCTTAAATTGGATGAACGTTTTCTTCAGTTTAAATTAATATCTATTATCACCAAAGTAAAAGGTGACTTGCTTTGTATTTTACTTAAAAAAATATTGTTGTTAGCTGTCGACAAAGAAAGTTCGTTCAGCAACTGGTTCAGAAAGCCGATCCCAACTGAAGTCGGTGTTTGGAATAACTAATCGGTAGGCCTCCACCCTCAACGACGTTTAGTAGTTTGCATGGCGCAGAAAGTGTGCCGCTAGCTCAAAACGAAGCTACGGGGAAGAGGCATTACTGCCGAGAGGGCGCCCCACCTTAAACCCCGCGTGTTTTAAAGATGGCTGCGTTCTCCTATTCCGGCTTCATATCAAGTGGCGCTGTCCTTTTTCGTCTTTTTGCTGGACTAAAGGTAAGTTTCAGTTATTTTTGCTCGTAAACGGTAGTTGAAGATACAAACTTGTTTTATGAGAAATCAGTATCGAAACGGTCCGAGCTTTTTACACCAGGAACCACTGAAATTCTGCATAAAAGCCCAACGTTAACTTCTTGTTAGCCCCGCTAGTGTGGCACGGACTCTCACTCCCGCTCCATCCTTAGCCACACATCCGTATACGCAATTTTGTGTCGGTGTACTGAAGATTTTCGGCGCACCCACTTATCATCGTGGGCACAATCTTTTACACACAGAGGTGATCATTAGCCTCTCTGCTTTCTTAGTGCCATTTATTGAATGATTTCTCTCACGTTGTTTTAGAGATTGTAGGTCAACTCGCCCCCTGGCCGACTCGCCCCTTACCAGCTCGCCCCTTACCAACTCGCCCCTTACCAACTCGCCTCTTAGCCAACTTGCCCCCTTACCAACTCGCCCCCTGACCGACTCGCCTCCTGACCGACTCGCCCCTAGCCAACTTGCCCCCTAGCCAACTCGCCCCCTAAGTTTGCCAAGTACGTATGGCCGGCCCATTCACCATTTAATAAAAAATACAATCAGTCAGAGATGGAATCAGTGATTGCTGCCCTTAAAAATAGGTTCTTGGGTTTGCAGCGGGCACTCAAAGTCGAGTTTGTTTAAAGCTTGGTGGATATTCCCTTTGTGTGGAAGTTGGGGGGTAACAATATTTTTTGATATTGGTAAAACTAATTCAGTATTATCGTGTGTATGGGCCATGGCGCAGCATTTGCTGTGTATTGTCTATGGGATTTTGTGCGCCACAACACCAACACTCTACCATATTAATTAACTTTGCGGACTATTTCGGATAAAAAAAATGGTACATATTAGTCATAATGCCTGACGACGGAAGTGTTAAGGAGACATGATTTATGACAAAGGGTGTAACAGTCGCAACACACTTTCAGGTTCCGATAACTTCACAGGATGCAATTATTAGTTCACAATTAACACTAAATACTGATTTATTTGGCGAGTACAGTCATCAAGGATCACGTTGTTGATTGGCCATATTGAATTATATCCCAGCATGCACTGTCGGTGTCATGACGTCATGGTAAAACAGTCATGTCATCTGGTGCCCGTTACTTGTAAACAAATTAAGGGCACTCTCAAAGATATTCAATTCCAAAAAAGGAATAAAAATTATGCAAATAAAAAAAAATTAATAATGGGGCTTTAAAAATTTACATTAGTGTACAATGTACCACTATGACTTTATACATCACACAAAAAGCGCATATCCAAGAACCTAAATCAATTTTCGCAGTATATGTGAGGTCCCAGTCGAGTGAATGAGCAACAGAGCTCTATAACTAACTAACTAACTAACTGGATATCGGGTCACTTCAAGAAGATACAGTCACATACCCAAATATTAATGGGACGGAGGGTTCGAAGTTGTTGATCCTGAGGGTATGTTGGATGTACAAATAACCTAATCAGACAGTGGACGTAGGAAGCGTTTGAATAAGTAAGTGATTAGTGGTGATGTCCAAATATCCATCATCATCCGTGAGTCGTTCGTGTCGCGTCATTGGTTAGAACCATTGTTTTTTTTTTTAATACATTGGGCCAGCCATACATGTATTTGTTTGACGTTCCTAGGGGCGAGTCGGTCAGGGGGCGAGTCGGCCAGGGGGTGAGTCGGTCAGGGGGCGAGTCGGCCAGGGGGCGAGTCAGTCAGGGGGCGAGTCGGCCAGGAGGCGAGTTGGTAAGAGGTGAGTCGGTCATGGGGCGAGTTTACAAGGGGACGAGTTGGAAAGGGACGAGTCGGTCAGGGGGCGAGTTGACCTGACACCGTTTTAGAGCCCGTTGCAACTTGGTACATGTATGATGTTGTATTTTATCGCTCAGTCTGTGTATTAGTTACTGTAGATACATGTATGTCTTGACATGGAACAGCTGTCGAGACGATGAGGGGCCAAGTGACGTAATGTTCAACGACCTTATTTTAAAGATGGTGACTGTGAGAGCGAGCCCATGAGATTGAATGGGTGAAGGCAAAAAGACTGGAAAATACCAGAACAACGTGAGCGAAATCATTCAATAAATGGCCCTAAGAAAGCGGAGAGGCTAAGGATTATCTCTGTGTGTAAAAGAAATTGCGCCCACAATGAAAATTTTCAGTACGCCGACACGAAATTGCGTATACGGATGTGTGGCTAAGGCCGGAGCAGGAGTGAGAGTCCATGCCACACTAGTGGGGCTAGCTTCTTGTGAACGTCTGGCGTCGCTAATCACCGTCAACACAGTACCAGTCCTTGTGATTTGTGCAAAAACAAAACACCCCTGGACATTTCCAGGTATGCAATTTTTCTAGGAGTGTGATTTTGAACAATGAATTAAAACCTTGGGTCAGTCAAGACTTAGTAAAATAAAGATAAAATTAGGTCGACATTACATACATGTATAAACAATCAAAACCAACAAAAATAGTGCAACAGTTTCAGATTAGTTTATTACAACTGCTTACTTCAAGCAAACTGGAAGAGATTCCAGTATGTCCAATACATGTAAAAAGAATCAAGGTTTTATAATGGTCATAAAATCATAATATCAGCTTTTCCATAATACCAGCCTCAACAGACAATGCCGAGTTCCTCTGACTGAGCCACAAGATCACTCCAGTATTCTCCATGAAATTTTTCCAATAAATCTTTCCTGCGAGTTATTTCCATTCATAACACTACAAAAATGTATTGGGAAACATTAGGACGTTTACGTGTACGTGTCTGCACACAAAGATCTGCTGCGATCCACGCTGGCATGATCTCTCCATGGCTTTCAAGCACTACATGTACGTGGGGCATCATGATTGACTGGTCGGGTCCCAGTCTCAACTTCAAAAGAATTCGTTGGCTCACTACACCTACGGCGCGGGAGCCTGCATCATGAAAGCTTGTCAACTTCTGGAGATCGTTTTGTGCAGATGCAAGTAAAAGCCATCTACATGTATGTTTTTTTTTCGAAAAGTGTCATTGTTGTGATCGGAACAACTTACAGGACAGACATCTCCGCAAAATACCTGGGATAATCAGGAAATTCATTGGAAAAGTTTGACTGAGAAGTGGTATGATCTCGTGGCACTGTGTGTGATGTGTACAAGCTCGTAAAGCCATGTACAGTGTGGTGTATGTAGCATTACGCATGCAGCAATGGTTGCTGCAGCGCTGTGCAACATGGGTGTGCTGAACGATTGTACACAGACAGAGCTGTCACACAAATCTGTTTTGCCAGGAGAATCAAAAATGATTCTGTCATCACTAACTGTTAGGTAGGCCTAATGTTTGATTCTTTTCGTTTCATCTTTCTCAAAAATTGCAAAGTATAATTATAAAGTAAACTCATGCCGAGGAGTGCGGTACGGATGGTTTCAGGCGTGCAATTATTTGCACTTCTCAGGAAGCTTTTAGGCATTTGATGGCGTGGAAGTGCAATCCCACACCTTAAAACAAAAGGACTGCAGTACAGTCTACCCCTAGTCCAGGTGGACTCCCTGGCTGTACTACGTTTTATATCGTCTTGATGGCACACAGGTTAAAGCTTGGTACCAGTCACGGCATCCGTGTAGCAAGCGTGCAACTGACCTTCACTGGAAATCGCGCATGCATAGTGCGTGCACGCAGCATAGATTCCTGTACGTGCGTGCACTTTGCCACTTGAGAACGGATGAATTGCATCTACAAAAGTAACGTTGTCTCTCATTTACTTTCCTTGATTTTGCAGTCCGTGGTTCGTTCTGAAATTCCTAGCCCCCCCAAATGGATAGATAAGGCCACAAAGAACGTAAACGTGAAATTAGTTTATTCAACAAGGTAAACCAAGAACAAATTGGAACTAAATTTGTGGTTGGTTTTGTACACAAGTCTTAGAACTTGGACGTAATGAAATGAAGACTGGCGTCGAACCTGGGCTAAGTCTACCCCCAGAACTGTAGGGTCCAACGTCCACCCCTCATGGACCCCACAGTTCTGGGGTTAAGTACAGTCAGCACACCCTCAATACCTCCTTATACATTCTGGCCGCCAGCCGTGTTTGTTTCACCATCTTGACCAGGTCGAGGACCAAACAACATTCTAGCAACGACGCCAGACTCTGCATACACTGCTTGATTGTGCAATGATGATGTAATTTTGAACTATTTTTAGATCAGGATTAGCAGATGACATTGATCTCTTTATTGCCAAAAACTTCAATACAAATTGCTCTGATTGATCAAATTAACTGGAAACATGCTGCCCCAGATCTACATGTAAATGAAACTTTGCTTTCATTTGGTATGTCTAAAAGCAGATTTAGGAGATTTTTTTGTAAATCTTGCACTGGATATGATGAATTCGGTGGATAGGCAAGTCCAATTCTGCTGATGAAATCATTTAAGCGGAAAAAAAAACTTTGTCAAAGTCTACTGTATGCATGAAAATGTTGCCATTACAAATCTCCATCAATTAACCGTGGCAAATTTTCAGTAGTAATTTTGCCATAGACTCCAACGGTAATGGCAATGGTGGCCATGTTGGCTGCCGGCATTTCAAATCTCATTATTTTCCCAAATCTCGGTGGAAAATTGTTATCAAGTGACCTGATAAAAATGACGACATTGCTTGACCAAGCGACATAAGCAAAAATTGGAGACGTCGCTAGCAGGATTCTAGCCACGGTGGGCGGCGCCGGGCAGCACCACCCAGTACTCTATACATAAGCTACCGGTACCACAGAGCCGGCCTCGCAATGCGCGCGTCAGAAATGTGTCACTGGCGTCCCGCACTTTGTGCATACACGCTGTGTTAGTAGCGGTAGAATCATCCGCTCGCCCCGATTAATGCTATGATGAACAGGGGGCAAACAGGCTTGATTGCAACGTGATTGTGTACGTCCATATGCGCATTGTACATGTACATGTGCCGATATCGTATACACGGTATGGAACACCATGATCGTGCTAATGTTGACCG